ATGTATATATATATATATTACAGAATATATCCCTCAGCTGGTGGTAATTTTTACCATTTCATAACTATATTCTCCATACCACTTCTGTTTTGCGTGCTTTTAGAGGTGCTGTGCCTATGGCAGAAAGCATCAGAATCTTTAATTGAACACATTGTGTTAGGGGAGAGGAGACAGTAAATCAGGTATGCAAATATGAGTTTATAAATAATGACATGTGTAGTGGCATTTCAAATATATTTTAATCAATAAAGTCTTCCTGAAGATCTGAGAGTAAAACAGTCCTTACAGACCAGGTTATGGCAACATACACCTTTAATCCCAGCAGCCATAATGACACACACCTTTAGTCCCAGTAGAAACACTAGTTGCCATAGAAACTGGATGGTACATGCTTTCAATCACGGTGGTACATGCTGTTAATCCCAGCCCTAGAGAGGAATATAAGATGGGAGGAAACAGCTCTCAGATAGTCTCATTCTGAGATTCCTAGAAGCAGAATAGCCATTTCAGACTAAGGTTAAGGTAAGAGCCAGTGGCTGCCTGCTTTGCTTTTGGGTCTTTAGGTTGAACTACAATTTCTCTCTCTGAGTTTTTTATTAATCATGCTTCAGACATGTGTTTTGAAAAAGAAAAAAAATAAGCCCATTGTCTCCCTGCTAGATAATTCCAGGTCATCCTGTTCATACTGGTACGAAGAAGGAAGCAGCGGAGTTAGCAGAGAGCCCCAACACAGAACACTGCATGTGAGAAGACTCTGGGTTTAGGAATCACCTGACTAAGCGTGAATACAATATATAATGTGAATTAGAAAAATTAGAAGGTGCTATTACGGCTTCCTAGCCTGTTATTGGAGAAACAAATTGAGGTAAGTGTGAATGCAGGTGTGTAAGAAGGGATTAAGCTATTTAGCCATCTTAGTGTGCTAACCTTCTCCCTTTCCGGCTATTCTAAGACGGTATCACCGACACTCAGTGAAGAAAGGTTCAGAAGTTTGATATCCTGGATTTGAAGTCTCAGCACACACCTTATATTTTGTTCAAATAGGGAGGATGGAGATTGCCTTGGGTGGGTTACTTAGTCTAGGGGTTATAACCCACCCTGCAGTTCAGTTATTCCAGGGTCACAGAGAGGCACTATCTGGAAGATAAATGGGCTAAGAGAGAAGAATGAGGCTAGGCAGATTTTGTCTAAGCCTCTGTTTATTAGGGTCCTGGTTGCTGCTTATATAGCCCCTGGATGCAGGGCTTGGGGTTCAGGGGCATGGGATCTTGCCGCGTGGTCCAGGTCACGTAGGCCAGGAGGTCAGGTGATGATTCTTCAGCCAGGAAGTTGCGAGTTGACACACCTAGTTCCCTGGATAGCTGGAATGTGAGGCGGGTTCCGCTAACAGATAGCTCTCTATTAACAGATAATTAGGTGTGGAGTAGGCTCTGTCAATAGAAAGACTCCTAACACAATTAGGGGTGTGGGGTTCTCTGCAGACTCCCCAGGGTGATGGTTCCTGTAATGATTTTAGGAGGAAATTGGCTCCTGACAGGAGGAGATTCAGGAAGTAACATAAGTGTTTTTATTTTCTACTCAAATTCCTTGGTGCCAAGCATCTAAAGCCTTAAATATTCCCTGTTGATAGAGTTACTAGGAACTTTTCCCATCTCTATGTGCCCTTTGCCCTGTTTTCTGAGCTAGAACACCTAACACCCCACAGCTACAAGTAGAAAGTCAATCTTTTGTTCTAATATTTGGTTTTCAACCCTGGTCTGTGGCCTAGAGTTTCTAAACACTTGGAGATTTCCTGATTCATTGAAGAACTATTTGTTCTAGTGAGGTTTCTGTTGATGAAACAAACACAAATTTGCAAACATCAGCCTTTATTCTGTAAGGAAAATAGAGCTGGCTGTGGAAATTATTACAGTTGATGCCTATGTTATCCTGCATGTAGTCCTAATACAAGCTCTTAACTACAGGTATTGAGGAGTTGATGGGGTTAGTCATGATTTGCAACTGCTGGGTGGATAGCATAACATAAGTCCATTCTTAGGGCAGAATTGCTGGTGCTCAGGACACTTCCAAACATGGTCTGCTCCAGATTTCCCTTTGGATATTCACCCACATCTTTTATTCTTATTCTGGTGTTTTTCAGTGTTCCCTTTAGTTCTGTGATGGCTCTAGCAAATTAAGTGAACATAAGGAGGTAGAAGAGGATAAGACAGAAGAAACTTGGAAGGCATAGGAAGGAGAAAGAGATATGGATAAGCCCTCTTACCAGCTGAAAACCAAGGATTGCAGCACAGTTAGCATGTGCTATCAGAGTTGCAAATGTTTTCCTTAAGAATGTAGGAACAACATAAAGCTGGCTTGATGTCTGAATGTCTTTCATCTTATAAAGGTACTCATTGCTCTCCCTGATATTTTCTGGTTATCTCACAGAGATCCTTAACATCTTCCATAGTGGGGACACCTAAACTTCCTGAACCTAGTATGTCTGAGATTTAGGAGTCCATATTATAAATTGTAATCCTGCTCCATGTGCCTCAGGTTCCACCTGTCATGTCACAGAATTCCCTCAACTCTTTGAAGATAATATCAAAACTCTCCAAACTCTCTTTGTAACAATAGTAAAGGAAATGAAATGCAGTTTTTTTGAGAAGCCCACACCCATTGTCTTTCTGACACTGTTTCTCTTAACCTCCTGCCAAAAATCTGTATTAAAATGTCTTCTAATACATCTCAACTCTGTTTCTTAGTTGATCATACTATGATTCTCTCAGTGAAGACAAGAGTCTGCCTTGATTTGAGCTGAGGTCATTAAAAGGTTAAGCATGCTGCTAGGCAGCAGTGTAGAACTATGCCTCCCATACCAGCACTGCCACAGTGCACTAAAATTTATGATTGTTTTTTGGAGAAAGAGGCAATGTTATAGGAATGAACCCTTAATCTGTGAGTGCTGACATAGAATTTAATTCAATTCAGAAACCCAGCTGGTGTCTCTCAAATTACCTGTGTGTGGGAAATAAGACAACTATTATGATCAGCAAATGCTGGCAGGAAATGCATAGAAAGTACATTGGCCTGTTCTATGTCTCAGAATGTCAGAACTCTCATTTAATTAAAAATACTCTTTTATAATTTCATACACATATAGAACAGTTTTGGTCAAATTCACCACTTTCCCCCCAAATCCTCCAATTTCCCTCTCATTATTTTTCCATCTCAACTTCATTTACTCTACGTTTGAAACACATAAGATAGGTTCTATGTTGTCAGTAAGGTCCTCACATGAGCATAGGCAACCTATCAGGGGTTGGATACCTGAATAAAACTTATGCCTTCCTTCCCCAAGCAGTCATTGTTTGTTCATAGCACCTCAGCTTGAGGGAGGGGATTCAGAGTATCTTCCTCATCCATGCTGGGATGTTGGCTGCCTCAATCATGTGTGGCCTTGTGTATGCATTCACACATCTGTAAGTTCCTATGTGCCTGGCCTTTCCATGTCTTAAAACACAATTTTTCATCAGATCATCACCATCTCTGGCTCTAGCACCCATTCTTCCTTCTTTTCTGTGGCGATCAAGGTGAGGGGTAATGCTATAGATGCTCCATTTAGGGGTGAGCACCCAAAGTCTCTGTTTTGTTACATGTTGACCACTTGTGAATATCTATAAATTTCCAGCTATTGCAAAATAATACTTTGTTGATGAGGATTGGGCAGCACTTTCTTTGGGTATAAAAATAAGTAGTTAAGGAATAGTTTAATTCTATGTCCATTTGCTAGGATAAAACTACTAGGCTTTCCTCTTGGGACTATGACCTACCTCACCATGAATAACTCTGATTTTTAGGTTATAAGTAATTAAAAATTGGAATTTTGTTT